GCAGCTGCCTTTGCCTTTGCCTTTGGGTTTAAGGCAGAGGATGGAGATGGAAGAAGAGAGGCGTCTTGGTTCTATCTGGCCTGGGCCTGTTGATGAAACCACTCAGTTTCTAAGAAATGCTGGTGGGCTTCACCGAGTCAACTCCAGTGGCCTCAGTCCTTTAGATGTTTATCAGCAACAACAGAGGCTATCTCCAGATGAGTTGAGTCATCTTTCAATGCAAGAGAGACTTCAGCAGCGCTCATTGCGTATGCCAGGTGGTGGTCCTGCAATGAACCTTGATGTTAATTCCATGGGTCGAGTTAATCAGAATATGCAGGAGTTCAATTCTCCATTGCACCACGGTGGTGCTGCTAATCAGCATCCGTTAGCCTCAAACCGCTTCCATCCCTCTCAAATGGGTGTGGGTGGTGCGGAGGGACAAATGGCAAATGAGTGGATTCAACAGCTGCATATTGATAACGAAAGGCAGAAGGAAGTGAGAAGGATTTCTGAAGATCCGAGTGTTTGGATGTCTGCTGGAAGCAATGATGATCCTTCAAAGAGGTTGCTTATGGAACTGCTTCAACAGAGTCAGAACCCGTCTACTAGTGAGGAAGCATTAACATTGGATGTGAGTAATAGTAATATGGCACGGTCCGAATCCGATAGTAGGGAAAGGGATTATCCGAGTCATGCATTTGAGGGCATTGGTGTTGGTTATGGATACAGACCACAGGGACAGGGACAGGGACAGGGACAGGGACAGGGACGGTCGGTGGGTTTGGGTGAGGAGACAATAGTTGGGGAGGGTAGAATGCATACTAGACCATTCTTTTCTGAGACTCAGGAGGCAGTCTATACAAATTCCAACATGCAGGGAAACAGAAAAGTACCTAAAAGTGAAGGTGGCAACAATAACATGATGATATGTGTAGCCGCAGAAACTCAACAAGGTGGTGTTGCTGCTATAGATCATGGGGAAATGCCAAATAATTTTGGTAAATTTTAATCTCTTTATGATGGTACCCTTTATTTTTTATGCGTAGAGTAGTAAATAAATATATCTGTGTTGTGATATTAGCAGGTGGGAATAAAAGCTTGTACAATGACAGGGTTGAGTCTTTTGCAGCAGCAGGAGGAGGAGGAGAGGGTCAAGACAGGTAATGTCAGTTATTAATCCTGGAACAGATAATTGATATGTTTTGGTTTCTTATGTTGAGGGTTTGCATGCAGGGGGTCGAAAAGGTGTAGTAGTAGTAGTGATAATATAAATATATTGGTGAGACGTCCTTCATCATCATCATCATCTCATGAAGGGGGGTTATGTGAGGTGGATTCAACTTTCAGAGAAAGAGAAACTAGGGAGAACATGATGATGATGGTAGGTGGTGGTGGTGGTGGGTTTAGGAGGACGTCATCATTGAGTGATGCATCAGTGGCAGTATCAGGGACGGCATCTTTTAGCGACATGCTTAGAAGCAATAGTAATAATAATCATCATCATCATCTTATTAGGAAGCCACCCTCACCAGATCCAGAGGGTGCAGCAGAGGGACACAATAGCAAAACTGGTACTGGCGGTGGTGGTGGGAAAAAGAAAGGCAAAAAGGGGAGGCAGATCGACCCGGCTCTGCTTGGGTTTAAGGTTACCAGCAACCGTATTATGATGGGAGAGATCCAACGCATACAAGATTGAGCCCCTCCTTTCCCCAAGTTTTGTTTTTTTATTTTTATTTTTATTTTTATTTATTCTTTCTTGTGGTATTTATATCTATATGTATATGTATATGTATATGTATATGTATATGTATTGTATGTATGTATGTAGAGAGTATTGGTTGGTTTGGTTGCATAGAGTAACTGCATCTGTATGTACTATAAGTTTTTTTCTTTTTATGTAACATTCGGTCGGTCAACATTACAAAGTGCCAAGCTGATTTTACATTCCAGTGCTGCCTGCTTTGGAAATAACGTAAAAATTATTTCAGACTTATCATAATATAATATAATTAATTACTAATTACATTCTTCTTTCTAGTTCTACTCCTTTTACAGGTGATAAAAGGTAAGAAGAGCGGATAAAACTAGAAGCCTGAATGAAAATTTTGGGGTAATAGTTCAAATCTGAACCAGTTTTCTTGTCAATATCCCATAAAGTAATGTAATCCTATACAGATACCAAGACTATCTTAATAATATTCAAAAATAAATTATTATATTTGTTTACTCATATCCTATGTTATCTATGGTTGAAGTGAAAAACCATCATATTATGATAGGTTCTGTCTGAACTTGGGATCAACTACAACTTGAAACCCGGCCTTACCTTCTATGTTTTTCCCGAATGGCCTTTTTACGCTTGTGCTAGAAAATCCTGGTATCGGCAGTTTGAAAGTCTAATCTGAAACTAGCATTTTGACAGCCGAGATTTGGCTTTACACCCTTTGAGTCTTTCTTTTCTCATTTTAGTAAAAAAAAAATAGGCCTCCTAACAAGGTTATATATATATATATATATATATATATATATATATATATATATATATATATATATATATAGAGAGA